AAAAAAAAAAGGTCCCAAAACTCTCAGCTATGAACAGACTAGATTGTTCAAGCCTGAAGTTTCCGATTCCCAGCATCTGCACTAAAAGAAAAAAAGGAAGAGAGGAGGGGTCCTTTTTCTAATGCAAGGGAGGGCAGCCTGACATATCGGTTTCCTCTTTCAGCTGGGCAGTGTCTAATTACCTCCTCGAAAAATGATGTAGGACTGAATCGCGAGCCCGGCGTTCTGTGGTGTTGCGAGCGTCAGGTGTGTGGTGACATTTGCCTGGGGCCATGGCTATGGTAAGCCGCTGTCTCATCCAACGCCCCTATATTACTCGCTTCTTCTCCTCTCTTCATCATTTGTCTTGCTTGTCTCTTTTTGTCTTTATTTTGCGCTCTTCTCTTCTCTCCTTCGATTCTACTTCCTCTTATTCCTCTTCTCCTGCTTTTTGGTCCTGTCTTTTTCCTTCTATATATAATCGTTGTCTGTAAATGGACAGGGTCCTACCATGGCCACAACTACGATGGACGCCAACGAACCTTCAATGAACCGTATTGTAGCTGAACACATTCACCAAAGAGCAATGTCGACCATCTTTCTCAATGAACAACCTATGAAAGGACCACCCCGCTTCCGGGAGGCTGACTTGAAGGATCCACGCCTCCGCCACTGCGCCTTTGACCCGGAGACTATCGTTTTCGAGTCTCGAATTGGAGGTGGAAAAGATGGATACGTCTGGAGGGTAAATTTTGGCGGCGAGGGACCATTCGTCTTGAAGGTTGTGAGTAGCGACCCAGTTTGAACGATATGTTTTATTCGCTCACTAATTGCGGCGATGCTACCTTGATAAGTTTTGGGATCAAGTCCCTCCTATCAAAGCCGGGGATTATTATTCGATGCAGAGAGAGTGCCAGAACGCTGCCGTCCTTCAGATGATGGAGGCAGCTGTAGCAACAAAGCCAGTTCTTGTAAACGCTCGCCCTGAGACAAAACAGGCCGCCATGGAGAACTATCTATCATTTACCGAAGAGAACTGCTCCCCACGACATACCAGGGATGTTACCGAGACAGATGCACGCCGGAGGACCAGGCTTATCTCATCATTACCACGCATGACTAAATGCTATGGCTGGCTGAAGCTGCCCAACGAGGTTTGGATTGATCTACCACCCCATCTGCAAGCCGAGAACGACGATCCCAGGAAGATTAGGACGCTTTTTGAAAATCACATGGGCTGCGTTGCCGTCATCTATGAGCTAGTTGAAGAAGGCGAAAACGAAATGGAGACTGTGGAAGACGTCGACACTTTTCTATGGCACGCTGGTTTTGCCTATGCGGTCGATCCACATCCGAAGAACTGGAAAAGCGGCGTCTTGGTCGATCACTCGGAAATTGTTCATATTCGCGGATACAACTGGAATATGGGGCATTACGTCGGAAGAACAGCGGAGCAGATACTGGAGCATGAAGGGAATAAGTCTTAAAACGTTTGATAAGGCGCAGAGAGCATCTACTGGATGCTTTCGACCTACTCCGCAATGGGTATTATTGCATAGATGAACGGGCACGGCATACATTGGATGGGCAATGAGGGGGTCTGATGGATTATATGGCGACTGGATTAGACGGAATCATTTAGGCTACGGCGCTGGCAGTTCAACAGGTTGATTTACTGGTTGAACTCTGACAGAAATGGCGATATGGAGAAAATAGGAATTTTATCTACGCATTTTATTTATCCGACGAGCATAGGATGCTGATGTTCTCTGTCATTTTAGAGCATGTAGGAGGGCTATCGTCTCTACCGTGCTTCTGCCCCCAAGACGGCTGGCTCCCTCGTCCATCTGTTCATGCCCCCTTTCCGTTCAGCTCTACGCAGTGCCTTATGCGGCTGAATCCAGAAGCTGAAATCAAAAGCTGAAATCAGAAACTGAATCTAGAATTATCGGGACTTTTCACATCCGAAAGCACTACTACTAGGGAACCACTCAGAGCCCAAGACACGGCACAGTAGCGCTTCAAGGGGACGCAAGGGAGACTACTCCAGCTCTTTTTTTTTTTCTTGGATTTTTTTTTCGGACCACATGAGCCATTGGATACAACGAAATGTTACAAAGCGGTTGGGCGTTAAGGGCTATTCGGTATCGCTGGTGCGGAGTAACTACATGTAACCCCTGCAAATCAACTTATGTGGGAGTGGGCAAGTCACCATCACCATTTTTACTTCTCCTCATCCCTTGGGTGAAGCTACGATGTTATTGGACGCCATGAAAAGTTCTGCCTGTCTCGTGCTTGGTAGAAAGAAGAAGAAGAAAAGAAAAATTAGACGCCGCTAAATGCTACAGTGACATGGTGTGAAGGGAGAAGCTGAACTGAATAGAGGCAGATAGTTAATTATAGAGGTATCATTATTACCTTGGGTAGTTGAAAGAAACAGAGAGAGAGAAATGGAAAATACATTTAATATGTAATCATATGATACCGAGCATGAAGCTAATCCTAGCAAAGGCTAAGATTGAGAGTCTCTTTTCTTTTTTCTTTTTCTTTTCTTTTCTTTTTTTTTTTTTTCTCCCTTTTTTTCCTTTTTCTCTTTTACCGCTCTTTAATGCGAGCCATCTCTCCCTGCCGCCTTGATTATAACCACGAGAACAGACAAGGCTTAGACAAATTATTTTTTTTGTCCCCCGCAGACGCAAAAGTCTCAGGCCAATAAATTCTAGGCGCTCGGATATCCTACGCGCAGTTTCGCTGCCGCATTTGGAACTAGCTGGGGAAAGATTGTCGGATGTTGTTTGGAGGCGTGAGGTCGGAGCTGGCGGGCGATATCCGATGATGTGAGAGAACAAGAACTTGTTTGGGACTGGGTGGTGGTGGGATGGTACTCGTGGTTTCTGGTGGAATGGGTGGAATGGCAGACTCTTTGCTAGCATCTTACACTTATTGAGTGTATGTTGTTAATCGTCGTTGATGTACCTGCTGAAGCGATACTGTATCTTGTAAGAGGATGTCGCAAGTAATGGTATATTGGCATATGCTACTTTTGCCATCACTCTCTGGCAATCGATTCTTCAAAAAAGAAATAAAAACAAAAAGTGCTCCAAATTGTGTGTAAACAAATATGACTGGCCTGCTAAGATATAGAGAGCTACAGTTACCTCAACAGCAAGGTCCACATTTGCGTCAGACCACAAGTCGACTTGTTTCTCTGAGCTTTGTAGATGCAGTGGCGCTGAGTATCGGCAAATTATGGCTGAATGGGGGCATCGGCATCAGCTTGATTGGAAGCCTGTTTCCCTTTAGTCCCAGCGTTGTCGGGCATTACTGTCTGATACGCGTTCACTGCAAATATATCGGGTATTAAAGAGTAATCCTTGTTGGCTCCTGTCGTAGACCAAGAAATTTCAATTGGTTGTGTCTGCGGATTGAAGTTAATATCAGTTGACTAAGCTGCTCCCGGTCCCTCTCTGCCTGGGTAGATAATGATATGTGCTCATTAGTCGTATTGGGAACTCCTTATTCGTACTATTAGGTCATACAGTCATCAGTTACCCCTTGATACAAATTGGAAGCTTACGTACAAGTATTCTCTTTACGGAAAGAAAGCTCCAGAGGCTCTGAGTAAACCCATTCTGGAAAAAGATTATTGCCTCGGTATCACATATGACCAAGGTACACAATATTGCGCAATTCTAGACTGCCCCTACTTCAAGGAACCGTCAAGTACTACAAAGGTTTCAATGCTGATAAATCGATATTAGCCCAACAGGGAAAATGGAGAGTGCTCGTTAGAGTCAATAGAGAAATTTAGTTAAATTGAGAAAACTGTTTAGTACGCCCGTAACTCATCACTAGAGTTCGCCCAATCCCATTATCATGCATCATGCATCATGCTATGCTCTTTCACGCTCTTTGCTGTGTATCTAGAAACCATCTGCTTGTTTCGAGATCAAATGACAAAAGAAAGAAAAACAAAAAATCCAAAAGAAATCGAGTAGTAGTCTATGCGTGTTCCGCGTGACGTCTATCTTATAGTCATCGGAGTCCACCGCGAGGCACCACGCTCTCGTTGATATTGGGCATTCTTGGTTCTCTGCGGGCTGAGGAAGAGCTTTTTGATGGCGATGAAGCCTTGCCCTTTCCTCCTAGTAGACCTCTCTTCTCAGTAGCGACAGAAGACAGCGAAGCGGTTTCGCTGCTGTCGTCTGCTCGAAGATGCGCCTCATCCCGGCGGTGTCCGTGGAGAATGCCGTTGAGCATCTGGCCGAGGCCGCGACGCTCAAGGCTTTGAGAGCGAGAGCCCGAGGGAGTAGATGATGAAGAGGAAGAAGTGGGTTTTTCGGCTTTCTTGCCCAGAGAAGGTCCGGGACGCTCAGCCTTGCCAATGGAGAGGCCGCCGTTGTGTCCAATGAGAGACATGTTGTTGGTGTTGTCAGAAGAGTTGCCGGAGTTGCTGTTCATGTTGGTTGGTTTGATGTTTTTGGTTGATGGAAAGGAGGTGATGAGCATACAGTTGAGAATCAATTGTGATTGATTGCTTGGATTGTTGGTTACAAATTGTGTCAAAGCTGCCAGGAAGCTGCTGCTTTATAGAAGTTGTGATTGTGGAGGTGGTGGTCGTAGTAGTAGTAGTTGTTGTTGTTGCTACTATTGTTTTGATGTGATTGATGTGATTGAACTGATTGATCCGATTGATGTCTGCCTGAGATGGACCTCAACAGCCAGGCATCAGCGAATCTATATATACTCGAAATCTAGGGGTTGCAAAATCTCGAATCCCTCTCTGCTCCCTACCAATGACATGTCCAATTACACCAGAATAGCTTGACTTGCCGGCTCCCCACAGCCCACATCATCATCCTCATCACGGCCACGAGGCTAGCGCGAACTCATGGTAGCACAACACCAAACCAACTTTTCCAGAAAATGACCGTTGCTCCCCATTGTCCCCCGTCTGGCGTTCTGATAGGCCAGTCTACGGCAGAGGTAGCTTATTCAAGATACATCAAGTACAGGCGACTCCACAGCAACAGTCACCGCTGGGCACAGCCCGCGCAGCTTTTGACTCATGGCGGGTCAGCCGTCGTTCCGGGTACGAGTTGCGCCAAATGGGTCACGGAGCCGCGAAGCTTGTCTTGCGGGGATGGATGGAGACGACAGCGAGTGACGAGCCGGCAGGGGGGATGACGAGTTTCTGCCTGAATGCTGGCCAAGGCCTTTACTTTTGAGCACCGGGACGCTTTGCTTACAGCATGCCTACGCAGACGCCTACGCATCCAGCTGTGCAAATCCTGCAATCGATAGATGGGGGATGGATAGTCGCAATACGCGTGTGCAGAGACGGCGACGCCGCCAAGGCTGATGTAGATGAATCTCAGCCACCAGAGATTCGCAGCCACAAACAACATGAACTGCCATTTTTTTTTTAAACTACAGTACAAGTATCTTATTGAGAGTTGAATCCATCTAACCTCTTACTGATAAAGCTGATGCCTGCTCTGCATCTGCGCCCTGCTGCGGCTGCTGACACACGCTTCCGTAGGCGACAGAATAACGCAAAGCGCTGCCTATCTACATGTATCCAAATACCACCTACATTTTTCTCTTCTTCATCTTGCCTTGTACTTGATGAAAAGGGGGGCAGCATCGGCATCGCCATCACCAAGAGGCTGCCCTTCCAACTGCCAGGAGGTCGCGGTATCTTGCCGAAAAGAGTACTTGTAGGCTGATTGCGAGGTCAGCAAAATCACTCAGCAATCTACGGGTGACGACAGCCTGGTACGCAACGCTGGACTACCTAGCCTAGCCTCTGTGTGGTATGCCTATGTGCAAGAAATGGCAGCGTTGGTGCGTGTGCGTTACGTCGCCCCTCATAGCGCTGCGTATTAGAACCAACCGTGCTATCTTCAACACGTAGAGGTTTAGGTCTATACTGCATGTAGCAGTAGGCTAACACCAACAGAGTAGGTCGATGTAGTCTATTGAATGTCTCTCGTCTCGGCACAAGCACTCTTAAGTCCGTCAATTATTTACCACTGTACTTCATCAAACTCTATATTACTGTATCTCGACAATCTCAAAAGCTTTACTTACATTATCAATCCAGTATCTAGCCGCGCCGGGGTCGACTCACTCATCGTGCAGCAAGCCAGGCGAAGCAGCGCCTACAGCACGTTGTGACTCTTCTGTGCATCCTGCAATTTCAGCCATGACTCCTCTCCAGCTCCCCCTGTCAGCCTTGTCCCAAAGCAGCACAGCAGATTCTCCCTCGGCTACGCGGCATTTGATGCGATTTGCTGGCACGCAGCGGCCGTGTCCACTCTGGAGCTGTCCCGTGGCTCTAGATCTTTTTTCAACGCAGTCATTCAAGTCGCTGGGCTGGTCAATTGGGATGAAAGTGCAACTCTATGTATGTCCAGAAAGGATAGCAGATGCACGCTATCTACATCCCTGCGTGAAAGCGCATGCAAAATGATACAGTAGGCCTTCTTTACGAGCCCGGCAGTCGCTTGCATGGAATCTCCACCGCAAAATTGCAGTCAGATTCAAGGTGGATCGATATCTATTTTGAAAAGAGTCTTGGTAAAAAATCTTGACGAGAAATATGGTTACCTACTAGGTAGCAACTTTACGAGAGTGAATGCCGCTTTAGATGCGTTAACCAAGGCAACAACATAGGCCTAAGAGTTGAGCCGAGCATTCGCAAAGACTTTGCCCCGAGATCCGCGAAGCTTTGACGACATTGGCTGCGAGCACCAAAGCCAAATCGATCTCTATACGAGTATCGAATACACGTATCTTGCCGCAAATAACCTGTCATTCATAATCAATGCTCCTCTCGTCTACAGGTTCAACGTGCTTGGCGTATACGGGAAGCAGTAAGAACGAGAGTCTCATACTGAAAGCCAATTTAAATATGATGGATTAAAGATATCCAAAAATGGCTTGATTCATTGTTAGTTGATACGTACGTAGTTTCAACACTGCATCTATACCACAATATCAGCTATTGAACAACAAAACAAGAAGCAAGCAATCAACATCCTGATCTTAATCCTGATCTTGATCCTGATCTTGATCCTGATCTTGATCCTGATCTTGATCCTGATCTTGATCCTCTTCTCCGCACGTATTGCCATGTGGGGGGGCTCTTTCTTTATCACAAGGGCCCGTTCACCGGGGCATATAACGAAGTGAGGAAACTGTGGGACCTCTTTTGCCGGCCTCTTGCCATATGGTTTGCAGTTGCTAAACATAAGTTCTACGCTGTGCTAAGACATACATCAGACTCACCGACGATGTTTGGTGATATATGCTGCTGTAAACCGGAGTGTTCATGCAGATCTGATATGCTGCATTTAAGAAGCTGAGTCTAAAAGGAAGCATCAAATGACGTTCATATATATTGACTGTCTGAAGTCGGATGGGGGAATCTACATAAGATGGTGCATGTCATATATTTCACACCTAACTAGACCTATATACTCGATATGTCGACGCTTCTATCTCGCCATCTACCTCACGTACGCTCGTTGTTTTCTTGTCGAGCCAACGAACATACTGCTTGAACACTCTGAATTTCGATGTGAAGACCCGAATGAGTTTTTACGTGCCTTAAGAATCGCTCACAGTCGCTACACGCCGGCCGCGATACCAATATGACGGCCCGGTTCAACGGTTGTTTGGGGCGAGATTTCCACGGCTCTATACGCTTGTCCTTGGCAGTATGCTCGTTCTCACCCGCCAAGTTCAGATTCCCAAACAATCTCACAACGTCACCTTCTGATTCTGATTTTGCTTTTGACTCTTCTGCGTTGTTGACCTCGTTTGGAAGGGACAAATGTTTGTGTATAAAATACGCAACGAGCTGCTTTTCGGCATGGGATGCATGATACTGGCCCGGAACGCCTTGATCAAAGTCAAGATTAGGTTGAAGAGAGAACTTGATTTTTCGACAAAGATTCATGACCTCAGTCGTCCAGTACTTTCCAGAAATGACGGGATTTTCGACCTGATTGTGCCCCCAGCCACTTTTTGCATAGACGTCAGGAAACTCTCCATAACGGCGCAAGGCGGCAAATGTTTTGTTGTAGATGGCTTGATGAAGTCGAGGTGACAGTATGAGAGAAGGTACTTGGCCTCGATACTCAATACAGATGGAATCGCTCCACATAGATCCAAAGTCATGGCAAATTTTCCCTTGCTGCGGCTGTCTTGCCGCTGATCCCACTAATCGGACGCTGGGGATGAAACGATTTTCCTTCTTATCAACGTCGTGAGATGTTTCATTGCAAGACGAGCGATCCGAACGCTGTGTTTTGAACTTTGTCTTTCGCGAGGAAACGCAGGGAGCAGCATTTTGATGGCATTTTTCTTTTGAGTGCGGTAATTGCTCTTTAGAGAGGCCCTTAGAGCTCGATATCTTTGTCTGTCTTGGCCGCTCCGAATTTGTATTCGTAGACATGTTTATCATTTTACACCGGCCATAGAGCTGCTATATTGGCTGCCAGTGTCATGATGCTCATGCTTGAGCGTTTGAAAAGGAAAATACTTTCTCTTCAAGTAAGCAAGATCCAGAGTGTAGCCTGCACTCAAGGTTTATCGGTAGCCAAATCCGGCCTGAAGACGCTGGTATGTACGAAACGGAACTGCGGCGTAGAACGATGCGTAACAATCAGCCCGACACTGAGAATTAAAATTTAGACTTACACTGAATCAATTTGGGATGCAGAACCTCATAGATTATCAAAGTCGCGATAACAGATCAGATAAGGGAGAGGGCGGCTGCGGATCTGCCAACCTTAATGATGCTGTGGAATGCACTTTCACTGCAAGCAGTCGGCAATGGTGTGTGAACAAAACTTTAATTATCTATCTATTGGTGCATTCTTTATCCGGTCTTTTAATGATCATCTTAGCTTAGCATCAACGGCTCTACGCCTGGACATATCATGCTTGATAATGTCTGCTGCCCGCTTCTTTGATAGTGCAGGCTTGATGGTCTATCTATAATGAGATTCTGCATCACAAGCAGCGAAGCTTTGGTTGACTGGCGTGATTTCGTCGGGGTACGCGCCGTCAACCGCGAAACAGTATTTAAAATGCTCGTGTTTCTGGGAGGCGGGTAGGATGGTTGACTTCCACCTCTGAGTGTGCTGCTATACTCCATCAAGTTGTACGGTGGCTAAGGCGGGTTGATCCGATACGAAGTAACTGCCATTGGCTTTTTGCGGAACAAATATTCAGGATACTCCCATGAGCCAAGGGTTGCATTATCTTCTCTTCAAATATCATATCAGATGCGTTCAGATGCGTTATCAGATGCGTCATATCAGATGCGTCCGCAAGCGGCAAGCGAATGTGTACGGAAGAGGCAAGAAGTCCAAAGTCCCTTTTGCAACCGGTAACATTGGGATATATAAGTTTCCATGCCCTGAATCTCTATACTGTCATTTCATTTTTGCTTCAAAAAAAGATCTTGGACAAATATCGCACAGCAATAGTATAGCAACAAAAAGACAACTGAGAAAATGACGGCAGTACGAGATATCCAGGAAATGGACAACCCGGAACGCCTTCGCTATTTCCGCATGATCGACCAACTTCGCGGTTTTGGGATCAATGAGGATCTGCCGCTTCCGCAGGTAAGCTTTCGCCCTAAGTCTTACTCAACAGCCTTTTTAACATGGACATTCATTGTAGATTGTCGTGGTTGGGGATCAATCCAGTGGGAAGTCATCACTGCTTGAAGGTCTCACGGGTCTCTCGTTCCCTATTGCCTCAGACCTCTGTACGCGTTTTGCAACGCAAATTGTACTGCATCGTACGCCAGGGGGGAAATCTTTGGTCAAAGCCTCCATTGTGCCTGGTCCCTCCAGTCTGGGCGATGAAGCTCAAAAGAAACGATTGCTGGAGTTTGATATGCAGATGGATGCTGATGAGCTTAGTGGATCTAAATTTACTTGGGTTCTAGACGAGGTATGTGCTGCTCTAAGCTCCTCGGGATACGTTACTAATGTCAATAGGCCGCTGAATATATGGGATTGCCCAATTCGGATGGCCAAGATGTTGAGAATCTGACGAAGCGCTTCTCGGATGACATTTTGCGTATCGAAATTTCTGGGCCAGATCAACATCATTTGAGCGTTGTCGATGTGCCGGGCCTTTTTCACAGTAAGATTGCTCCTCTATATAGATCTTCAGTTATATTGACTCCTTAGATCCTACCAAGTTTCAGACTCGTGAAGACTTGTCTGTTATTCGAGGACTCATCGAGACTTACACAACAGATGCGAGGACAATCATTCTGTGAGAATTTTTTGAAAGGAAGGCCAGGATTCTTCTAACAATCTTCCAGGGCAGTAATGGATGCACGAAACAACTTGGCAAATCAAGAGGTCTTCAAAATGGCTCGCGCAGCCGATCCTGCAGGTATTCGTACCGTTGGCATCATCACCAAGTGCGATGCACTGCAATCTGGAGATGAACATGGAGTACGTAGCGTTGAAGTCGTGTTGTGAACTCAGGCTGACAGTCTTTTAGGTCCTCAATATTGCGCAAAATAATGTAGAGCATCTTCAACATGGGTGGTTTGTCGTGCGCAACAGGTCGACTAAAGAGATACAAGAAGGCGTGACAATCCTTCAACGTCATGAAAACGAAAGGCAGTTCTTTCAGCAAGCTCCTTGGAATGCGCTGCCAAAGGACCGAGTGGGTGTGAAGGCTTTGAAGCCTTTCCTCGGCCAATTGCTATATGAACATATTCGCCGTGAACACCCTGCCCTTGTAAAGGAAATCGAAGACATTTATAGGGAGACACAGAGGAAAGTGGAAGCGCTTGGAGCCTCTCGCCAAACTCCAGCGGAGCAGCGACAGTACCTGACGCGTCTAGCGAATCGGTACCAACGCAATGTTGAAGATGCTCTCAAGGGAAACTATGCTGCAGATCTCGATACGAAGAGCCAATTGAAGCTACGAATGCATCTTCGCGATTTGGCGGACCAATTCGAGAAAGATCTCCGGTCGAAAGGACACACGTTCCCCTTCCAGCAGCCCGATGGATCAGTCGATACCGACTATCTTGACCAGGATGTTGACCCAAAGACACAAGACATTATGCAATGGATTCACGATACGTACAGAGACGCTCGCGGTGCAGAATTGCCCGGCACTGTCAATCCGGCACTTCTGATCAACTTGTTCCGACAGCAAACAGCTCAATGGGAACAAATAGCCGGTGATTATCTCGAGCAAGTATTCCAGCTGCTTACGGAGTATTCTCGACTGGAGTCTTGTCGAACTGTGGAAGACAAATCAATTCGCGCCTCTTTAGAATCCTTGATACTTTCCCGCATTGCGTCCACCAAAGTCTCGGCCAGGGAACAGCTCATGGGTCTATTGAAGGATGAGCGAGGCGAGACCTTACAGACTGTGAACCATTATTTCGCCGAAACGCTTGAGAAAATCCGCCAAGAGCGCGTCATTGCTCGTGTGCGAGCTCTTGGCTTTCAAGATGGCCAGTCCTATACCATCGATCTAGGAAAGCTTACCAGCGCTGTACGTCTGAGTAACGAGGACCAAGCCGTCAATGATATTCACGATGTGTTGAAAGCCTACTACAAGGTAGCTATCAAAAGGTTCGGAGATTACGTGGTAGTCTCGGTGGTCGAGAGATTATTGGGCGAGCAAGGAGCGCTCAAGTTCTTTTCATCGGAACACGTTGGAGGTCTATCTGACCTACAGCTAGCGGAGATGGCTGCAGAAAGCTATGCAACTTCAGCCGCAAGGGTAGAGCTCGAGCACCGGTGCCAGAGGTACCGTGACGCTCTTCAAGTGGCCAGAAGCGTGTAAGTGGATTAATATGTTGAACCATCTCTGGGTTAGGTTTTGTCCCCTTGTGGTTTCCCTAGCCTGTGACGCAAATGCGAGAGACAACTGCGATTTTATGTTCTTTTTGCTTTCAATGTGACTTCAGCTTAGTGTTTAGCAACTATTCTAGGAGAATGAACCGCCTAATATATAATTGATGATGCGATAATAAAAATACTATTATTAAGGTAACCGATAGCCATTTACCGCAGTCACGGCGATCATATAGTAGTTTACATGTGACATCTGTTTGAAGAAATCCTGCGAGATGCATGTGGAGCAGTATCCAGTACCCCACCTTGGCGTATTCGGCAGCAGGCCGCTGGTAGCTTGTACATTTTTACCCGCCGCCGTTATCGCTTATCGATATACGCAGCTTATCGCTATCAGTAGAAAAATTTCCCAGTTAGACTCTCAAATTCTGCTGCTGAGCGGCGACGGCGAGCGCTTGACGGACGGCCACGACATACCACCATGGAGGACCAAGTGCACAAGCCGCATCGCAAGAGCAAGGAGAAGAAGCAGCACTCGGGAGGTAAGTTGCGCGCCCAATTGGAGACCTGAAGCTTCCATGAATCTGCCATGCAGATGGATAGATCGGATGCTGACTGAACCTGCGACAGAACGCAATCCCAAGGCTTTTGCCGTTGCTAGACCCGGCAAGCTTCAGCGACAGGCTGCCAGATCGTCTGATGTACGTCTTGCATCTCTGCACTCCTTACTAATTGCCTCACTATTATTCAATGTACTGACAATTGCATTTCCATTTAGATCAAGGAAAAGCGTCTCCATGTTCCTCTCGTCGACAGACTTCCAGATGAGGCGCCGCCGCGCCTCGTCGCCATTGTCGGCCCTCCCGGCGTTGGCAAGACGACTCTGCTAAAATCTCTGGTCCGACGATATGCCAAGGAGACTCTATCAGATCCCCAGGGCCCCATCACGGTCGTTACCTCGAAGAAACAGCGATTGACGTTCATGGAGTGCCCCAACGAGCTGGAAGCCATGGTGGACGTCGCCAAGGTCGCCGACATCATCCTTCTCATGATTGACGGCAACTATGGCTTTGAGATGGAGACTATGGAGTTTCTCAACATCTTGGCCGCCACTGGTATGCCTGGCAACGTCTTTGGTATCTTGACCCACCTGGATCTGTTCCGCAAGCCTGCCGCTCTAAAGGATGCCAAGAAGCACCTTAAACGAAGACTATGGACAGAGCTCTACCAGGGCGCTCACCTATTTTACCTCTCTGGTGTCATGAATGGCAGATACCCGGATCGTGAGATTCACAACTTGTCTCGCTTCCTCTCCGTCATGAAGAACCCGCGACCTCTTGTGTGGAGAAACTCTCACCCATACACCATCATCGATAGCTTCCGCGACATCACCCACCCCACCAAGATCGAAGAAGACCCCAAATGCGATCGATCCATCGTTCTATCAGGATACCTACGAGGAACAAACTTTGCAACCCAGGGCCAGCGAGTGCACGTTGCCGGCCTGGGCGACTTCACCGTGTCTTCTATGGAAGTGCTGCCTGATCCTTGCCCTACACCGGCCATGGAGCAGGCTTTGGCCAAGATTACTGGCAAAAAGGGACGAAGAAGACTGGATGAAAAGGAAAAGAAGCTCTATGCTCCCATGTCTGATCGCAGCGGTCTGAAGATTGACGGCGATGCCATCTGGATCACCAGGGATAAGGGATTCACATTTGACAAGGATGCGGACACTGCCGAACGTGGAGAGGGAGAAGAGATGATCATTGGGCTTCAGGCCGAGCGAAGACTACTCGGCCAGACAGAAGACGGAGTGCAGCTATTCAAGGGAGGCCGGGAAGTCAAGGAGCTTGCTGAGGAAGAAGATACCGGCAGAAAAGAGCAACGAAAAGCCAGGATCGCTGAACGAGAAGACGGGAATGATGAAGGAAACGAAGACGACGAAGGCTTCGTTAGTGGTAGCGATGAAGAAGACCCAGATGAGGAAGAAGAGTTCAACGAGGGAAAATTGGGCAAAATGTTCCGCGGCAAAGCTGACAAGGAGGCCAACGGCGATGATGACCTTGCCTTTGCGGACAGCGACTCAGATCTTGGTTCCATCACAGATCTGGATGAGGATGCAGAGGATGATGAAGAATACGACTCTGATGAGGAGACAGCGGCCTTGAGATGGAAAGAAGGAATGGCCGACAGGGCTATGAAGCTACACTCCAGGAAACGCTCGTATCACACTGCAGACCTGGCTCGTTATATCTATGACGGCTCCATGACTGCCAGCGAGGCGCTGAAGAAGTGGAGGGGCGAAGAAGATGACTCGGAAGAGGAGGACATTGAAAATGACTCGGAAGACGAAGAGTTTTTCAAAAAGAATGCACAGGAGAGCGAAGACCTGATTGAGGATCGTTCAATACCAGATTACGACTACGAGGACTTGGCGGCCAAGTGGGCCAATCGAGAGAACATTGAGGCTCTCAAGACAAAATTCACATCAGGCAGGAAAGGTGGAGGCGTAGACGATGAGGATGAGGATGGCGAGTTTGGCGGCTTCGATGACGACGAAGATGGCGACGGTGAGGGTGGCGAAGACAGCGAAGGCGATGGTGAGTTCGAGGATCTAGAAGCTGATCCCCAAAACCCTCCTCAGCAACAGTCAGCAGAAGATATCCAGGCAGAGCGTGAGAAAAACGCAAAGAGGAAAGAGGAGCTCAAGGCCAGATTCGAGGAGGAGGATCGAGATGGTTTCATGAACGACAAGTCAAAAGCCCGACGAGAAGGAGGAGGCGATGGCGAAGAGGAATTCGGCGAGGACGACTGGTACGATGCCCAAAAGGCCATGATCCAGAAGCAGCTCGACATCAACAAGGAGGAGTTTGAAAACCTGGACGAGCGCCAAAGAGCCGCCGTCGAGGGCTACCGTGCCGGCAAATACGCAAAGCTCGTGCTGGAGGGCGTGCCCGCCGAGTTCACTTCCCGCTTCGACGCCCGGCAACCCATCATCGTTGGCGGCCTCTCGGCAACAGAAGACCGCTGGGGCTTCGTGCAGGTGCGCATCAAGCGCCACCGCTGGCACAAGAAGATCCTCAAGACCAACGATCCGCTCATCTTCTCGCTGGGCTGGCGCCGCTTCCAGACGCTGCCCATCTACAGCATCTCCGACTCGCGAACGCGCAACCGCATGCTAAAGTACACACCGGAGCACATGCACTGCTTCGCCAGCGTCTACGCGCCGTTGATTGCGCCCAACACGGGTTTCGTTTGCTTCAACTCCTTCTCGGCAGCCGGTTTCCGCATTGCTGCCACAGGCACCGTGCTCTCCGTCGACGAGTCCACCGAGATTGTCAAGAAGCTCAAGCTGACCGGCTCCCCTTACAAGATCTTCAAGAACACCGCCTTCATCAAGGGCATGTTCAACTCGTCCCTGGAGATTGCAAAGTTCGAGGGCGCCTCTGTCAAGACTGTCTCCGGCGTGCGCGGTCAGATCAAGCGCGCTCTGTCCAAACCCGAGGGCCACTTCCGTGCTACCTTTGAGGACAAGATCCTGGCCAGCGACATCGTCTTCCTGCGTGCCTGGTACCCCATCAAGCCGCACCGCTTCTACAACCCCGCCGCCAACCTCATCGGCTGGCAGCCCATGCGTCTTACGGGCGAAGTCCGCCGCGCAGAGAACGTCGCCACGCCGCAGCTCAAGAACTCGCAGTACCGCAAGATTGAGCGCCAGGACCGCCACTTCAACGGCCTCAAGGTGCCGCGCGCCCTCGCCGCCGATCTGCCCTTCCGGTCGCAGATTACTCAGATGAAGCCCCAGAAGAAGAAGACGTACATGCAGAAGCGCGCCGTCGTCCTGGGCTCCGAGGAGAAACAGACGCGAGCCTTTATGCAAAAGGTGCTGACTGTCCACAACGAGCAAGTCGCCAAACGCCGTGCCAAGAAGGAGGAGAACCGCGCCTCGTTCAAGAAGAAGCTGGCCGAGGGCGATGAGAAGAGGGAGGCCAGGGAGAAGAGGGAGAGCAAAGAATACTGGCGCAAGAACGGCCGCAAGAGAAGTGGTGGAGATGAAGATGGCGGCGGCGGCAAGAGGAGAAGGTGAAGAAGTGTCGGTTTATGGATCTATACATGTATAATGGCGGGAGTTGCGTATCTGTCAAGCATCGCAAGCTGTATTTTGCATTGGGGATAGAAGGGTTACTGTATCTACTACTACTACTTTTTATATACATACAAAAGAAATGCCATCCTGGCTACTTTGATATCTCCCATGTTCTTTGCTCCATTTTCTTCATCTTTCTCAACTAGTCTTCTTCCACCGCATGCCGATAATGAGTGGCTGTAACTGACATCTCTGCCGGCAATTAAAAACGCTGTCTGCTTTATCCGTCTCCCCTTTGCAGCACAGAAGCCTACGGTTTCTGCCTCGGCACCAGCATATCGGCCAATCAGCCAATGGCGGCAATGGAGCACGTGCCCCTCTGGAAGCAGCAGCTGATGTTTTCTAACTCTGTAACTTGAATTATTTCTTCCTCGTGCCTTGAGCTAGAAGGGTGGGAGAAGAAGCATCAGCAAGCACTTTAGGCAGCTGATTGAATGGCCCGTTTATGGGTGCTGCTGAACGCTTCTAGATCCGATTAGACTAGAATTGTAGCCGTCTCTTGTCCAGCAGGATGGGGGAGGGAGACGGCTGAAAAGGAAGCTAGATGCCGCCATTCTTCAGCGTATGAGAAGCCGCCGAGTAAGCGGTATCACCTACTATCTTGAACCGCTACCACCATGTCTGATACAGGACACTTCCGGCGGGCATAGATTGCATGGGGAGGGGGTTTCGCACCAGAGGGGGCCCTAAGCCTGTCTTGGTACTAAAATGTCGAACCTGTTACTCGGAGCAGCTTTCCATGCATGCGCGCACGGAGTCGATGATGCAGATGCCTAAAATGCTATCATGGTCTGGGATTATGTGCTTCACTGTACCACTAACCAGCAGTCAATCAGCCCAGGGACCTCCAGATACAACTCACTATCTGACAGACTCAGACTCGCGTTGCTGTTTCAGATGCCTTGAGCTGTCTTCTCGCGGAAGCTGCGTCCTTCTACACATCGCACTTGCCTCGCAAGCTCTGCGACGATAGCGGGTGCGTCATTCATTGGTGGGCAGGTGACGACTTGCTCTTGCTGCTTCTGCAGCTCCAAGTCCCGACCCTCGCCTTAGCGCCATCGAGTTGCATCACATCATGCCCGCTTCTTTGTACCTTTGCTAGTCACGTCCCGTACCTTTCTGCGTGGCTTTCCCCCGCAGAGGAACCCCGCAGACGGAGCCAGGGTACTTGTCGCAAGCAAGCGTCAGGGAGCTGCGGCAAGGAGTAGCAGGTCGCAAGTAACCCCACTAGCACATGTTAATTTTGATTATGCATTTTATTGGAAGGCGTTTGTGTCTTTGGTGGATAATACAGCAGGTAGACGAGGAAGAGGTTAAAATAAAGGGAGTCAAGCTAAAGGCAAGTATGGGGAATATAATTTAAAAACAGAAGCGACAAAGAAGACAGATACTTCAGAAAGCACAAGATCAAGAAATTCTAGAGCTGTTAGAAAAACAAGAAAAGCAAGCAACAAGGAGGGGCGCAAGAAAACAAAAAATAGGTAAAAAATAGAAAAATAGAAAAAAAAAAAAAATGTGCAGCGTCACAACCACGTCGACACCTGCCGCTAATAAAGCTCGCCCGTAGCTTCCACCAGACTTGCTTCGGTTCGGTACCATCACATCACCTAAAAAAGAGCCTGGACCCAGGTTTCCATCTCCCTAGCTCTCTTTTTTTTTTCTCTCTCTCTCTCTGTCTATTCAGATTCCTCTAAAAAAAGCATCCCACCTGCCTGCTGCAGTGCCCTGTTTTCATCTTCCCCTCTTCCGAGCTGCGACTCTCTTCTCTCTTCCATCAGTGTCCATCACCTGAAACACGCACGCAGGAAAGAAAAAAGGTACGCCGCAAAGACTTACTGGCAACTTCAGCTTCAGCTTCTGCTTCTGCTTTGATCTAACCCATCTGAGCTCTGCGAAAGAAGCTGCTTCTTCTTTCGCTTTTGGCGCTTTCTCCTTTTCCGACTTTCCAGCTCTGATCTGATACTGAGACGACAGCTTTCCAGCTTCCGACGACCTCCTTTCTGCCGCCACCGCTGCGCAACCGACAAACCCCCTCCAACCAAGCTTCTCGCCGACAAATAACGAAAACCCCCCCCATCCTCACCATGGCCGATTCTGCTGGCGCGGTAAATGGTCAACCCAGTAAGGTATGTGGAAGCCGCAACTACTACACTTTCCATTTCCCGCTTCTTCTACAGCTGCGCTGCGCTGCGCTGCACAGCGATCGACCTCGTACCTACATATATGGGAACGAAGTGGTCTTTCTTTTTTTTTTTTGTCCAGTAATATCATTGGCAGTGACGGTATGCTGACACTTGCGTTGGACAGTTTTGCATGTGACAGCTATAGGGCCTGTGGTCGCTGCCTTTCTTTTGGCCCCCTTCTGGACGCAACTGACGATGAGCTCATAGAAGCTGCCAACGGCAATGCTGGACAGACTCTGACGCCGTATCACTCGCTCTTCAGGCATTTGTTTTCCTGGGAGAAGCCTCGTGAGTAGCGCCCGACGCAAATCTTCGATTTTGCTGTTTCTTACCCCAGCTGCCTTGACCCCTCTCGACTGTACCATTCTATCGCATTACAGCTTTCTCGCTGCCGAGTAACAGACATGGCGCGGCCTCTTGTGCTAACGTTTTATTGCTTACCAAAGGTGACTCGGCCATTGCATACGCCTCCGTCGTTACTACCATCATCGCTGTGAGGTACCTGAACCTCCTTAGCTGGACCCTTGGACTGTCCTGGATGGTCTTGGCCACTACTGTTGCTGCTGAGATTTCAGGCAAGCTGGTCCTTAACAATGGCCTGGCTTCCCAGTTCCGCCCGCGCGAGTACTTCACCGTTTCACGCGACACCTTCGAAGCGTTGGTCAGCGATGCCCACGGACTCATCAACTTCTTCCTCATCGAGGCTCAGCGCATAGTGTTCGTTGAGAATGTCGGTGTTTCGGCTGCCGTGAGTCGCGCACTTATACCCATTATCTTCATTTGGGTGCTAATCTCTCCCTTTTCTAGGCCTGCGTCGCTGCCTTTATCTCAGGCTTCCTCATCAAGGTCGCTCCCTACTGGGTCCTCGCCATCATTGCAACCACCATTGCTTTCTTCGCTCCTCTGGTCTACTCCTCCAACCAGGAGTTTATTGATGAGCAGCTCAAGACCGCCGCCGAGGCCATCAACGCCCAGACCGCCCAAGTTCGAGATGCCGCTCAAAAGCAGGCCGACCACCTTGCTGCTGTTGGAAAGCAGTATGCCGGAGACTACTCTGGCAAGGTTCAGGAGATTCTGCGCACTCGCAACCTTTCTCCTTCGGCCACCAAGAAGGCTCCCGAGTTCCCTTCTCCTCCTACTGAGGAGCCCAAGGCTGCCGAACCGGTTATCCCCCAGGAGCCCATCATTGCCTAAATTGGGGCGTTAGACCCGTAGGTATATCTACAGTGGAAGAGAAACGTGTGCGAGCCTGCGCTATCCTAGTGGCTGCTCGTTTCACGTTCTCTACACTGCGAATCACAAACCTACCGTTGAGGCGATAGATGTCTTCAAGATTGGAATCAAGACAGGCAGGATGCATGGTTTTGGGAGACGACGGTGTATCACCGTATCAGAGCATGATGATATCCGCTCAATTGGCACGAAAAGTTTAACGTTTGGTGAAGAGCAACTTTTTGTGCTGAGAAAGGCACATTCAACGGGGATGAGCGTGGAGGACAATGGCGTTTGCTACATGACCGACAGGTTTATTTTTTGCAAATTCTTTTTCCGTTTTTCTTGTTATCAGTTTGGGATGGACTTCTTTTTTTTACTCTACCTATCTTTACCCTTGCCCTATGACGAGGTTCTCAATTTTGCTGTATGGACTGAGGGATAAGCAGACAACCTGTTTGGAATCCTGTCTAGTCTACGTAGTGTGAAACGATTCTGCAGGTTAGGTTGCATAGTACTGTTATCTTTGATACTTTTCGAGGCTGTTTATATCGATGTGAATGTGACATCTCTGTATAATAAGAGGGCGATATTTATGAACTGGGAGGCGTCATTACCAAAATCTCAGTGCATCTCAACTTGTGCTTGTGTGCTAGCTAGTATTTGCGTCTGCTAATGTCTGTTCTGTTCAAAGCTATCTAGCAAGCGTTTTAGCTTGCATACATTGATTGTCATCTCGACTGGCCCATTTCCTATACCATCAAGGAAGGTAGTAAAAAAGAGAACAAGTAGGAAAAACTCCGTGCTAAACAAGGTGTTAAAAAAAAATAGATATAAACAAACCCGCTCCATAAAACATGGGCTTTGTTTCCCTAATACATAGATGAAAGGAGAGATAAGAAAGAAAAGATACGGGTAGCTCGTTCGTTGGTCTACCTCATGAGAGAGAAATTATGTCTCTTTCCGTCTAATTCGTTTGGCTGTTTGGCTGCAAAGGTGTAAAAAACCGTGCTGTGTTTTGTGTTTCTGTTGTGTGTTGATGTATGTGTAGGGATGCGTAAATAGGTATATCTCTCAATCCAACTTAATTCCCCCATTGGCGCATGCCAATATCCCATCTCTTCCGTGCAGTACTTTCTGCATATCTCTTGCAGCGTCTCTCAGCTCTTCTCACCTGCGCCAGCCCCAGAAACCACCACCACCTGATCCGGGGGACGTAGCAGCGGTCGCGGCAACCTTGGCGTTGATCGAGCCTGGAGATACAGGGCCGTTGGGAGAGTCTCCTTGAGTTTGGGCCTGGGCTTGAAGCTGAGCTTGAGCATGGTTGTACATCTTCTTCATCGCTTCCAGCTGCTGCTTCGCTTCTTCCGCCTCTTGCTTCGCAATGGCCTGCACCGTCTTTGCCTGCGCAAGCTCCATCAACAGCGTATCGAGGTCGTTCTGAGACGACTTGCTCTCGTTTGACGCCAATGGTGTCGGGGGCATCGACGCCGGCAGCGGTGGCACCAGGTCGTTGCTTTGCATCACCGACGACTTTCGCCGGTCATATGTTGAGCCCTGAGAAGCCATCGACTTACTACGCCCGAGCTTAAACTCCCTCAGCCCAGCGGGTGGCTTGGGGGTCCACTCCGTTCCTGAATCGAGACTGCCCAGGCCCGGATCACTGGATGCTGGTCTGGCTCGTAAAGCCTGTATCTGCTTTTCCAGCCGCTGCTTGTCCTGGTGAAGGGTCCTGACGTGGCTGTGGCTTTCCCGGATTTGCTCTTTCAGAGACGACATTTCTTGGTCCAAGTCGTGTATCTGCCGGCTGAAAGTCTGGTTCTGCGACATGGCACTGGCCAGCTGGTCTTTGGCCTGTTGCAGCTCCATCTGCATTTCCGAGTTTGTGCCAGGTGCTGACGGCTGAGATTTGCTCTTGTCGCCATCGTCGCCGTCAGTTCCACTGCCGAAGCGGCTTTCCACTCTATCAAGCAGCTCTGACAAGTCCTCTGCGGATGGCGCATCTGATGTATCGGCCGAATCATCTTCATCAGCAGATGTCTCTGCTTCATCTTCCTTCTCCTCTTTCTCCTCCTTTTCGTCCTCTCCTTCTTCTTCATCTCCCTTTTCTTCTTCGCCAGTTTCAGTAGCCTCTTTAGAGCTCTTCAAACTCAAACTGTCCTCTCCACCTTTTTCTTCTTCTTCATCTCTTTCTTCATCATCATCATCATCTTCTTCTTCTTCTTCCTCCTCGTCCAACTCCTCGTCTGATTCCTCGTCAGCGAGGCTTGCTCTCTTCCTGAGCCCGTCCAAGAGGGATCGAACAGCTTTTCGGTCCTCTTCTCTCTCCTCCCGCTCGCGTTTCAGCTCGTTTGACAGCAACGCATGATTACGCTGCAGCTCGCTTAGCACGGTGAGGAGATCTTCAATCTGACCATGCAGATGTTTATCGTCTGTGTTTTTGCTGCTGCTGCTGGCGGCGACCTTGGGAGCTACCGGGGTTGATTCGCGGCTTGCAGAATCGTCCTCGACAGTGTTTGAAGAGTCTCTGGACACAGTAGTGGCATCTGTCGACGATGAACTCATGACACTGGCGGAGCTTGCCTCAACCGAGTTTAGGGTGGAGGCAAGGCTTTGTTTGGAGGTGCTGCGTCGCAACATGCTCAGTGGCCTTGATGGTGCACTAAAACCTGGAGCCAATCCTGAGGCTCTGGGGAATGCACCGGACGATGCCCAGATGCGACCTAGGAATCGGGCGGCGGCGGTTGCAATATCAGACGTGCGGGCGGTGTTGGCGGTCGCAACTAGAGATTCGCGGTATCCCTGCTCTAGCTGGGCGAGCTTCTCTCGAGTGACAATACTGGTGAGGCTGGCGAAATCTTGGACGAACTCGTCGGCGTTGTAGTGGTAACAATCCCATAAACCCCTGGACAAGAGGAGCTGCATCACGTCTTCAAGCTCAGTGCAGGACAGCAATCTGGCCTCGTTCCTCCGCATTAGTGATAGTGCGACGCGCATTAGTGTCTCAGGGGCACCTTCGGCGAAAATCACGTCGTAAATGCGGAATAGCATCGGCAGGGGGCAGGTGGTTGCAAAGAAACTGAGGAACCACTGCGAGACATAGGCCGTTTCTACTTGCAGATCTTCCAAGTGGCTCCACAGCGAGGGGAGATTGGCTCTCAAGAGCTCTCGGAATTGGTATATTCGCACATGGAGTCCCGAAAGGTCTGGCAGAAAGCAGCTTCTCAAATCATAGCGCTCCATGAGTCTATAGAAAAGCGGCAAAGGTCAGTATTACATGTGCAACATCATATCGGGTAGGATCGGGTCGGGTTGATTGAAGGGCCAGAGTCGTGTCACCATTGACTCTTTAAATTGAGAGCGGCAAAGGCAGCAGGGAGATGAGTAGGAGAGAACAGAGGAACACAAAGGGAAATAAAAAAAAATCCTTACCGAACCAAAATGCAGAATGCCTGCTTGTCAGGCATGTGCATCAACAGAGGGCCAACGAGAAATGCGAGGCCTTGACAGTATCCAATCTTGGTATCGTACAGACTGAACGTCTTCAACACTCGCCCAAGCATACGCTGGCCGTCTCCGTCTGGGTCGCGAAACATTTCAACGCCAGGAAAACTCCGGCCGAGATCCTTGCCAATAAGACCCTCATACGGGCTGGATTCGCCATTGAGTCGCTCGTACTGCTCCTCCAAGTCGTGGTCGCGAGAGCCAGACATGCTCTGCCACACCACGCCTCGCAGCGGCGGGGGGATTCCCTTGCGGATCTTGTTGGACAGCAGTGTGGGCAGCCGGGCCGCGGTCTGTTGGTAGTCCTTGACAAGAGCAGCGTAGAATTCGAGATCTGTCATCGGCGGCGGAGGCAGCATCGAGTATCGCAACGCGGCGGGCGTGGGCCCTCGAACCATTTTGCGGAGCATAGCCATTGATGGCGGGCGCGGCCTGTTTGGCGGAGGCTTCTCGACAAGCTGAACTTTGACGGTTTTTGGATTTGTCGCCAGCTTGGCGTTTTCCTGTTCTAAACGTGCCAGAAGCAGAGCGGTGGACTAGAATAAACAACAATCACAGTCAGCGAGGGGGCTTGCGACATGAATAATGAATGGCCTGCATATCTGTCAATGCACGTACGTTATCAGTCTCTTCGTCTTTGGTCTGTTCGTCTTCCGTTTTTTCAAGTTTTTCCCAGTTGACCTCCTCTGAATCTGAGCCATCACTATCGGCATCGTCATACTCTCCAAGTTCGTCATGGAGGCTACGGTTTGCCTCGGCGGAGGCAGACAAAGTGGCGGTCGGGGTTTGAGCGGCGTCTGGCACATCAGGGCTGGAGCTGGTGGGGTCCTCGATCGGCTCGCTGGTCGCTGGCAGCGCAGGCACCTCGGGGATATCGCTATTTCGAGCAGAGGCGGTTTCCAACGTCAGCGTTGGCGGCTCAGAGAGCCTTACGGTCACGAGTGAATCGCGGGTCGTCTTTGGGGTTACAACTTCGGCTTCGTCGATGGGCTTGGGGACTGTGTCGGCGGCGGCCATGACTGGCGTGGACGGCTCGCGGCCGCTCAGCTTCTCGCCCGCGTCCATTGCCATCGAGGAGGGCCCTCGTAGCCGGTTGACGAGAAGTGGATTTGGTAGGGTTTGGGTTTTGCCGTGTAGTGGACTCTCGACCCTCGACAGTTGGCGATCAGCTACTCGCAGTGCCGGGCAGGCTGTGTTGTTCCAGCGCCTTTGTCTCTTTGCTCAGGGGAAGCCTTGAGAGCTCGGAGACGGCCTTGCTCCTCCTTTCTGATGCTTCAAAGGACAGGCAAAGGCAGCAGACAACCGCAGAGGTGGTTCGATTCAATGCCTGTTATGCGAGAACCTAGTACCAGCAGCTATTTCGTACCAGTTAGCAGCAGCAGCAGCAGCAGCAGCAATCCGTCGGCAGGTCAGATGCAGCAACGGCACTAGAGACTCCGAATCTGCGCCGGCAGTGACAGTACCAGTAGCAGTAAGTATCGTTTGGCCGGGTCGGTTAGCGGTCTTCAGCATGCGTAATACGGTAAAGACTCTGGTGTTTCATCGAGGGGCTGCGGGCTGGTCGAGCCTAATCGGTGCCAGGAAAGGAGTTCGTTTTGACGCCGGGGGGGGGCCGTGACCTCTGGGGGGGGGTTATTTTTGGCACGGGTTTATTTTTTCCCTGGGAGGGAGAGAGAGCGAAACAAAAAGAGTCCAAAAGAGACGAGAGACTACAGACAAGAGTCGACAAGTGAAAAAAAAAAAAAGAAGAAAGAGAAAAACAAGCGTCGTGGGACAGGCCCGGACTGTGGGGAAGAGAAGCTGCCTGACGGATCGTAGTCTATGGATGTAATCAGAAGGTGCCAGATAGTGTGCCGAGAAGCTGTCGTGCAATTGACGGCGTAGCTGCTGGCCTTTGCCCTGTTCTCTGCGCCAAGTTGAGCTTCTGTCTTTTTTCTTGTTCCGGCGTCTGAATGGTCTCGGAAGCGCCGTCAAAGTCCAGTCAATTGGCCCAGCAGCAGAGAAAAATTGCAGCAGCAGACAGGCTCATCGTCGAGTTTCGGGTGCTGGGCCTGCCATGCAGATGGGGTCGCATCAGGTCAGTTTGGGTGTGCTATTGGACGCTAAATGTCCGGGCTGCCCAAGGTGCTAGCAGCGGCCGGACGTAGCGGGTACAGCGACTGGTGCTGTGGTCCGTGAGCAGCTCCAGGTTCCCAAGACTTCCCCGGCGCTTGTGGTGGTAGCCAGGGCGGGTCGGCGAACCCCTGACGCTATATCTTATGCTCCAAGCACTACACGTCTTCTGTCAGTCAGTACGGAATCAGGAATACAGCGGTGGTGAGTGTGAGTGGGCGCGACTTTGGCCACTGGCTGGGCTCAATCAATGCATCTTCCTTCTGTAATCATCGCTAGCGCTATGCAGCGCCCATTTGGCGATGACCACATTCCGTACAGAGTTGGTCGCGGTATAAGATTTAATATACAGTAAGCATCAACAGACGTCATGCTTCTCAGCGCTCAGCTTCCTGTATTAGCAACTCTCAGCTTGGACCCTGCGTCTGAACTCGTTTGTGGTTCTCTTCTTTGTTTGTTTGTTTCCTTCATCCTTAAACATCAGAACGGTGTCTTTCAACAGTCCTTTTTTTTATCTGACCTCCTGGTAAGGTTTTCAACTTCCACCACGAGCAACTGTCAACATCGACCCCCACGCATCTCAAAACATTAACCTATGTGTACAGATCCCGTCAATGCACCGTATACCATCTGATAGTCTTACTAATATATAAAGCCCAGAACTATTCCATGTAATTCGTCCATTTTCCTCAGCAAATCTTCTGCTCTTCACCAAATACAGCCCATAAAATTGCTGCTCAACAGAGGTCCAGCACAATAACCGCCGGCGCTCTCGAAAGGGAAGATCCGCCCCACACGGAACGACCAGGGTGGGTCCTTGCCACCTCCTGTGGCGCGAGCTGGTGGGAGCAACTGAGCTCCAGCCACCAGCCACCGCGTGAGAGCGCCGCCAGGAGACGCCTTTTGCCCAGACGGGTAGGCCAAAGGCGTTGGTGGCAGTTTAGAGTGACAGCCAACAATTTCGTGGCAGCGGCTTGCCGTAGCAAATCAGAGGATGCTGTGGCTCAATCTTTGGCCCTACTCAGGCTGTTGTGCTACTTCAAGTGAAATAAAATGCCCTCCATGATGCCCCTCCATAATGGCCCTCATTGTCAGGCAGCAGGACGACTTGGGCTTTTCATTCGCTGCATGGAGACCGGCAGGTTTCCCCGGGTTGCCAACTCACGCATGCTGTACAGCACTTTATAGGTCGCTAGTGAACATGATCCATCAGCTTTCACGACCCAGGCGAAAGGGCAGAACCGGCAGCGAACACGATGATAGCCCAATAGATTCAGTGAAAACACCAATAGCACCTACTAGCAGCACAAGCGCACATCAAGAATCGCCACCGTGAAAACTAATTCCGCGTCCAGTTCACCGTACGCCGGGCATCGAGAACGGACACTTACCTAGCAGCTATTGCGGAACAGACGAGGTTTTTTCCCCTCTCTTCTCTCATGCATCATCACACCGCTATTCTTTCAGCCAGAAGCTAAGACCGCTAGCATAGCGCTTCTGCAACAGGGGTCAGAAGCAAGCTTCATCGCTGCATCAAGTGGATGGTGCCGTTCTCCAAAAATCGAGTACGCCATGTACTCGCAAGTTGTTACTGGTACTACTGCCAGGTAGCGATATCATCACGAAGTACAGGTATACCAACGACAAAATGCATGGAGCTAAAACAGGCCACTTCTGCATTGTTTTCTTGGAAGGGCAAAGATAAACAAACGCGGTTCGATCCTCTAGCCGAACGCTCCATATTCCGTCCGGCTCTCGGCTAGGTAGCAACGCTTCTAGCTTGGGTCTAGGTGGTGACTTGGACGTCGCGGAATACCTACACAGCTGGGATTTTGGAACAGCCAGTTCAGAGGTTGTTATAGCCTGATTCTAGATCAGCTGCTGAGTATCATGGCAACAATTTGCTCTTCCATAGCATCGTCATATTTGCAGATGCTGCCCCCCACGGCCATGGAGTTTACATGTACTTTTAAGTGGGACTCACAGCAAGTCTCGCTCGGTAAACTTACCCTGCTTACCTACCTACCAAATAATGACATTCTCGGCTTGCAATTACTTGTAGTAGATGTTGGATAGCTATAGGTTTGAGCTCTTGGACTACTAGTATACTACGCATAGCTCACGAAACGACGAGAGAACACCTTCAATTGCAATTGATCATCTCAGCGTTCATTCTCTGAAGATACATATACAGCATCAAGCGGCATGAAGATCGCCCAATAAAGGTACCTGAGCCATGTCTTCCTTTTGATAACATCAATGTTGCCCGAAGTTGAGGTATCCGAATATAGACGCTCTGGCCTGTCCGCTAATCAACATCGTATCATTACCATCATTAGTATACGTGTCTAATACGCTATAGTGTAGGACTTGCCTACGTATGCCCTCAAATAAGAGAGGCTGGGGGCTGGTACTGGTACTGCCAACTCGGCACCAATGCCGATAACTTCAGGCGAATGGCCAGGATGGTAAAAACATGCTAAACACTCATTAGTACGCAATAGTCTCTACTCTAGAGTAAGTAGTCGTTGGCTTATCTAATTTTCGCTAGGAGAACCAGCCGAAAAGCCACAGGCAAGACTATACGCTGGAGATGGCTTCTCCTGATCTCTTGTGATCAAGAGCAGCGGATATTGTCTGCAGCGGATCATATAATACAATGAGGACAGGGAGGTACTTGAGGAGTTGCAGTTCTGTTTTTTTGAATCTCCCTAGTACTCTAATTCCTTACAACTTGCAGATTTCTGGCATTCCTAATGTTGATACAGAGCATCACAAAATTGTATGCTGTTTACGGTGGTTTGAAAATCTAGGACGATGATGTAAGGCTGCTGCGTACCTAATGGATACATCCGTCTACTACAGTCTACTTCCCCCAGACGCCAAACAGGAGATATTGCAGCAAGTAAATTCAGGCTGCGTGGCCTGAACTCGATGCAATGACGGTGTTTGGTGGCATTGTCCTTACGTCAGCCGCATTGCCATGCACCTGAACGCAGATGCCGGCTTCACGGCGCGTCTCGAGCAATCCCTCGCTCCTTCAATTCTATCTCCATACAACCTTGGCCAGAAAATTCATCCCCCTCCATCGGGTGAGAGCACAGCTTAGACCATTGCATCTCTCACTTCATCTCTCCATCTCCATCCCAGACACATACGCTAAATCCTACCAAAATATCAGTATATACTAGGCCTAGTACAAAATGAAAAGCATCACAAAACAAGAGATGGCATCCGAGTCTCTCCAGCAGCACCGGCGATTCCTAGCGGCCGTACTAAATACTTCGCGCGAACCGCTGGATGCCGAAGAGAACGCGCTGGCAAAGGCCAAGTTCTACCGCATCATTGATCTCTACAGTAAAAGGAAGCGTGACCGCTCCAAGTATAACCGCCATCTGCTGATCCGCTACACTTATGAATACGCCCTCTCCGAGGAGTCGCGAATCCACTTCTTGCAGACCTTCTTCCAGGCGCTGGAGCTCTCGATTGACGGTCAAGGCCGGGTTAATCTGAGCGATAAGGAGCAGGCTAATGGACTCTGGCTGAAGATCTCTGCCTTTGCAGACTTCTTGGTGGATAACTTTTACCTACCGCGTGCGACATTGTTTTGTTCTTTCCTTCAATTCGTCCTGACACTCCTACCTACCCATGCACGCATATATGTTCATACTACTACGATATATGTTACACACGCGCAATCATGTGCATACCTATATACGCTGCTTGTATATACCGTCACTAACATGTAGTGTCTCTCTTGTTAGTCAAGGCCGCTGCGAGACGGGCACCCCTGCCGAGTCTGACGTCGCAGCCCGCCGTGCCGGATCTCATCACAGATCCTCGTGAGGATTGCCTGATCCGAGATCGCCATCGCTGTATCATCACGCAGGCATTTGACTTCGATGAAGCAGTAACACGACACAAAGAACACGCCAATGACGCCTTGGACGACGAGGGGAAGTCACTGTTCGGCGGCAACCATTTCCTCCACCTGGAGGCCGCGCCGGTTCTTCCCCACTCTCTCGCCGAGATTGGATCAAGCCCCTCTGAAGAGGTAAGGCTTCAATTATGGGCTCGTTCTTACATACGGGGAACAGTCTACAGACGCTGGGTGAGAAACAAGGCTGAATAAGGCATTCGAGAAACAGAGTCACACCAAGAAACTCACGCTGGCGATTCTCAACATTTTCGACCATGGCATTCAAGATTTAATCAACGAGTGCGTTGGCACGCCGCGGAATGCCATGACGCTCACCAAAAATTACCATCACATGTTTGCCGAATTCGAAATCTACTTTACGCGGCTTGATGGGCCAACCTATTCGCCGCACACGTACAGGATCGAGGCGTTTGTCCCTTTAGCTATGAGAAAAGAACTTCCCGCCACTCGAACATTGCGT